ATTTCAAGTGCAGAAGCTGAAACGAATTGCAGCTAAGTCTTACTTCAGTACTGGCAACAGGATAGCATCCTCTGCCACACAGGGTATTTGATGGAGTTGTTCAGAAGAGGGGATCGGTCAGGAAAATTCAGCAAGAAAGACCCATGATGCCTCTGAGGATCTGTTGCCTTGACTGTCCAAGTGCCCTCTGTTCTCATGTTTTTGAATTATTACTGACAGAATAGAAAGAAGGCATGGGGACAATGTCTGGTGGGCTTAAAGATGTTTGAGTATGGCTCATAATGGTTGGGGCCTCAATGTTGGCTGAGTGTTGGCCTGGGTATGTTCCTTTCTGGAAATATACCTTCCAGAGGTAGTTGGTCACAATGCCTAGGGAATTCTAGGAGTTGTAGTCCTAAAATGTTATTTTCCCAAACTCTGCTTGCTACATACACTCCCTGTTACTCTTCCACAGCTGTTTATTTTCCAGGTGTTCCTCTCTATTTTGCCTCTCCCTATCTTTTGCACTTTGGTGGCTGAAAATGTGTTTCCTAAAGGGGAAAATGCCAAGTAAATATATGTACAGGTGCAGATTCCCCCCTAAACCACAGAATGTAGGAGGGTGTTTTTTTGAATGAAGTTTGACTGTAGGCATCCAGTCTACATAGAGAGCCTTGCAACAAGCACTGACCCAGTATAACTTTTATATGTCTCAGATCTGAAACTTTCAGAGAGAGATGCCTTGATCTTAATTTTTTTAAGTCCAGGGAATAAAGCAAAATGTGACAATCAGAAATCTGCCTTGTAAAAGTGCTTGTTATACATCTCTCTAGGGAAATAATTTCTAAAATACTCAAAAGATACACTGCAGAAGGAAGAACCATTAGTAGCAAGAAGGGTTGAAACAGAGTGGAAGAGAAAATTAAATGCAAGTTTTCAGAGCAGTGTAATTTTAGAAAATGGTTAGTGCAGGAATGAAGGAATAGTTACTGCTGAGCTTCTGAAGGATGAATTAAAAACAACATGCAAATTATCTTTAACACAATCATTTCATCCTTCCCTATTTACTGTTTAACCCACTTCCATCTTCTCAAGTTTTCCACTCCAAATATATTTCTAATTTATTTATTTATTCATTTAAAATATTTTACTTCATTTTTCTCCTTAAAAAGGACCCAAGGGAGCTTAAGATAAAACATTTAAAGCTAAAAACAGTAAGTATACAAATACTTAAAAGGATCAAACAAATACCATACTAAAAAATCGTAAACAAAGCAACACCAAAAACTCATTCAAACCAGTAAGCCACACTGTACTCCCCACGAGAAGATTAAAACAGGAATTTGTACTTTCAAGCCTACATTTGGAACTTAACCAGACAGGATACAGGAGAGGCTTCAAGGTGACTGGAGTGCAAGACTGGAGCATAGGATGAGGAACGAGTTACACATCCCTCCACATCCCACATCCCAACCACTTCCAGTAACTTGTCAGTTTTTGGTGTCCACTGGAACACAGCTTCCTCTGTAATTTTCCAGGTTCAGCCCTTAGAAGTCATTGAATGTGTGTGTTTTCTTTCTACATGTTTTTGTGTGCATGTAATCCTATATGAAGCATGGCTCAAGACTTTATATCATTAAGTTACAGACAAGGCTGGCAGTGCACACAGCTGCTGCCTGATATGGGAGGCATGTCAAAAATATATATATCATGCATGATGATAATGGACCATTTTTCTCTATGCAGTCAAGTGCCACATAGAAATGCCCTTCTTTACTTAGCTTGTTGCATGTCTTTTCTGAATTTACAAGGTAATCCCAACCTTACACCTTAGAAATTTCACTGAATATGAGGTAGAACTACACCCATGTGTTTTTCCTGTATTGTCTCTCCCTCATCCATTTGACATCTGTGTCATCTGCCAGTGCCATGTTACCACCTATCCAGCTTCTATGACAACTGATACTACTTCTCCCTTCATAGCTTGCCCAGCCATTACACAGAGTGAGGACAGCTGCCTCAAGCCACTGATTTTTAGTGTGTCATGGAAAGGCAGGAAATTGTTAGATATTGTTAGTAACGGATGAATAAAACTGGACATGTTTAGCTTGGAGAAGAGAAGTGAAGGCTGAGAAATGATATAACAGCTATCTTCAAATATCAGAAGGGTTGTCACATAGGAGAGGTAAAAAGGGTTTGTTTTCAGTGTAGGAACTGAACCAGAAAAAAAGAGATAACAAGAAAAGAGATTCTGGTTATACTGCCAAATGGTAATAGTGGTTTGACACTGGAGTGAACTATCACGGCAAGTGGTGGATTCTCCTTCAAAGATTTTGAGACATAGATTGGGTGACCATTTCTTGTGGATGCGTTAGTTTGGGGACTGCTCTGCTGGCAGGTGATTCATCCAGATATGCCCTTGGAGTCCCTTCCAGCATTAAAATTCCAGAGTTCTATGATTCTATGATTAATTGATTTTGTACAATCAGCGATGTAAAGAAGAGCTTGTGAGATTCCCTGTCTCAGTGTCAAAGTAATTTAGTAAGCTTGGCTTCTGTGCATCCTGATTTTTTTAAAAAAAGGTTAAGGTGATATATTCTGTGGATCCTCAGGGAGCAGAACATCTTGAGCTGCCCCTCCCCTCCCACTTTCAACACTCCTCCTGTCTCTACATCTCCATCCTGAAATGGCTGGACCTCCAGAAGATGGGGCAGGAGTTTGTGACCACACACCTCCATTTCTCCATTTCTCATTTGGTTACAACCCACACTGGTCTCTAAATTTATTCACAGCTTGGGCAACTGTTGCAATGGGTTATGACCCTTTACAGGTGAGTTACCATAAAGATATAGAAAACTACATTTACCTCTTTGTAGTAATCCTATCTAAGATTTTTTTAAAAATCTGCATTGCTCCATTTAACACTCTTCAACCAAGTGCAGTATACAGGATAATGTGGAGAAAGACAGCAACTACCTAAGTAAAACTAGTCAATCTGGAAAAGAAGGAACACGAATATGAAGTAGCCCCAAGCCCACAATATCAGAATTTATGATTCACATCATCTCAGGGAAGAGGTGCAGGAGATGCTGGTCTTTACAGAACTGGCTGGGGATAAAACAGGGTAAAAATGAATGTGTGGAAAAGCACTCAGGTGGCACAACATAAGGCATTTTCATGCGTAGTACTAAACATCTTGGTACACTCTCACCTTGTTTGTGTGCATAACTGTGCATAGGTGACTGTTGCTTGTGTCATCTGTGTGCATAAGTGTGCATAGGTGACTGTTGCTTGTGTCATCCAGAAAGCAGAGCAGAGATTTTTTAAAAAAATAATACCCAGATATACATTCTAGATAATGTTAATTTTATATTCATATTGCAATACAATTTAAGGGGAAAGGGCAATTTAAACCCTTAAAAGACTTCTGATATGGTCATAATCTTCAGATGCACACTATGAAACACACATAGAATGTAAGCATTAAAATATGCCTGCTAGTTTCTGCCATCAACATTCAATGGATCCTCCTGATCCCAAGGAGTGATCAGGAGTATGGATGAGAGTGGGACTATCCTGGCATCTTTTGTGAAATCTTACTTGCATGAACACACTCATCTTAGTCAATGCTGGAGCTGCAAGTAATTGTCTCTCGCTACCTCTCAATCCCGGCCCCCCAGGCCTCGATGCTTATAGAGGGTTCCTTTGCCCGTTATGTTTCATTCTTAGCTGTTGTAACAAAAGGGAGCTACTGTAGTTTTAGGTGGCATGTATGCACTTCCTAGTGGCAGCTGTATCTAAGTGATAACTGAAGTCTTCGGCTCCAACAAATCTCAGGCATCAATCATGTGCTATCCAATTTACCGCTTAGTGAACTGACACAATATTTGGTCTGGAATATGAAACAGTGGGTTCAAGTCTCCAAGTGTGCCAAAATACAATCCACAAGGGATAAAACCTTAATAGTCTGTTCTCCTCACTCTGGTCTTGTAAAGGCAAAATGAACCAAGCTCCTTAAAGCACCCAGAAACGACTGGCAATGGATCTGCCCAAGGGAACCATTCAATAGAAAACTAGTTATGTTTCCTCTTTGGGTGGATGGGGAGGTTACTGGTCCTTCTCTCAAGAAATGTAAGTGTGGGAGGTTAGCAACAACCAGTCTCTGCCCTCGTCTTACTGGGATCTACTGGGTCCCCAACTGTAAGTTTCTCTTCCTTGGTACACTTGCTTGGAAGAAAGGACTACTGTACAGACAAAAGTGGCGCTTAATTCCCAGTAAACACTGCTGGGGGTGGTTTGTCCCGCCGCAAACCGGGGCAGACTGACCCGGGAGTTACCACCACGGAACTCCGAGGAACTTTGAACAGAGAGAACCCTACTAGGGAGGGGCCTGTAGGTATTTTTCGGTTTTTGCCCGAGGCCAAACTAGCTCTCCCGTCTGGAGGAGACTCCCAGCGACAGGTGTAGTCCGCCTTGGGCTCCGGAAACTGAGCGGGTCTTTTTATACCGTACGTAGCCACAGTCCAGGAAAAGGCGTTTGAGGACAGGCCGGCTGCTCTGGGGAATGCCCAGGCGCCAGTTCCCGCCTGAGCCCTGACTGACACCGCTCCTCTCCCGGAGGCCAGGGGGCCAGGAGCCCACCTGCTCGGCCTTTTAAACCCGGCCGACGCACAGACCGTCTGCCCATAATCCGGGGGGGGGGCACTGAGCCTGCCTTCCTCATTCCTCGGTGAGGCTGCCGGTAAAGACCCAAACACCCTCCAACTTCACGGAAAGGCGCCGTCTCAGCCCCCCTCCCCCCCGCGATCCCCCAGGCTGACTCCCCGTTTCAGATCTCCTTCTTCCCCCTCCCAACCCCCTCTTCCACCATCCGCCTGCCCCACTGTCCGCGATCCTTTGGGACGGCGGCGGGACGAGCGAAACTTTGAGGGTCCCTCCGCGCCTCGACGGCACCCGAGCGCAGCCGGGAAAGGACCACGGAAACGACCAGGGAGACGAGAGGTCTGTCCCCGAAGCCTTACCTGAACCGAAGAGGTGGCCTCACCCGCCGAGCTGGAGCCAAGGAGCAGGCGGTAGGAAGCCGGGCACAGGCATGATCCCGGGGTGGGCACCGTCGGTCTTCGCGCCTTTTCCCACCTGGTCAGCGCGGGAGAAAGAGAGAGAGAGAAGAGAGGAAGAGAGAGCTCTTCAGTAGCCAAGAGGCGGACAGAGCGTGAGGCAGAGACGACCCCGAGAGAGAGCGCGGCCGCACAGGCGGAGCCAGAGCTGAAGATGTGCCTGAATGAGGCAGAAAAGAGAGAGAGAGACACACATACAGACTGAGGGAGAGACCACTGACGAAGATGCGCTTTTACGCACAGCCCTCCAGCTGCAGCAAAGCTACTCGACGCCTGAGGGCGAGACGAGAGGTCCTCGCTGCTCTCTCGTTCGCTCTCTCCCTTCCACAGTGGCGAACCGCGCAGCTGAACGCGGGCGTGGGTTCCCTTCGAGTCCTCCTGCCTACCCACACCCACGCCAGGCGGGTTAGAGTCTTTGCATTTCCCCTCAATGATCCTGCCCATCCCCCGGGACCCGAGAGCAGTATCGGTCTTCACAGATCAACACCAACCCCATAGTAGCAGAGAGAAGGTGTAAGATTTGTTTTGGATGATTAAGATCATTTGTCTCCTCTTTTTTTAAAACCCGTTTTGTGTTTTGTTTTTCTTAGATAGCTAGAAGATATTTCAGCAGCCCAGTTTTATATGAGCATTATAGGTTTACTCTCCCAAATAACTCAGTGATGGGAATTTTACTCCCAGGAAATGAAGCGTGGGCATGGAGCTATAAAATGGTTCAATCTGCACATTTTCTGAATCATTTATGGCATATATTTGTTTATTCAAGACAAATTAAGTTTTAAATAGGCAGTGATCTTTGGTCGATTTATGGCAGTAGATGGGAAGATGTTTAAGATTGATGAGGGAGGCTGTGTGAATTTGTGCTGCCCAAAGTGAAAATGTTTTTTTTGTTTATTAACTGGCATGCATTTGCTCACAGCTGGCTTCCCTCAAGGGAACTGTTGGATAGCTGGGTGGTTTAGATACAGTATCTAGTTGCAGAACCAAAGGCTGGGAATTTGATTCCCGACTGTGTCTCCTTGGCAGGATCTAGACTTGATGATCTATAGGGTTCCCTTCCAGCTCTGCAGTTCTAAGATTCTAAGAATATTGTATTAAAGACAAATTTAGTAAAATAAAATGCGATGGATTTCTCAGTAGATGTTTATAAATATATAAGTATCCTGAAAACTGCAGTGGAAATCATTTTCAAGTAAGTACTACTGAACCTCCCTCCCTCCCCCAAGTAAACGTGTGGAAGATTGGGCTGCACAAAAATCTTTAATAGATGCACTGCCATAATGGTAAATCAATATATAATACTATTCTTTAAATAAAGAATATGGTTGCTAGTCAGTCTTTTCCCCACTGAACTGACAGCCAAACTACAGGCTGCTTTCAAGACTTTCTTCTCCCACATCCCAAGAAAGATTCCATCAGGAATGGGGGGAGGGAGAAAGGAGGGTAGATGTTGAAGAGATTCAACATCTGGAGATGGAGATTCTTTCTTTCTTTCTTTGACTAACTGGATTCCTCTGGGGCAGCTGTGGGTTTGCTAAGCATTCCTCTTAAACCCTCCCCCCCAATGACGTGCTGTAGGTCAGCAACTAAAGCTAAGTGGGGATAGATAACTCACCCACCCTGTAGAATTTCACTGCGAGGAAAACTAATGTTTTCCCCATACTCTTTAGTTTTATTTTCTTTTTAAAGGCTGTGTAAAAATACCTTATTCTCTCTGATGGTATTGAACAATTGAATTTTTTTCCTTACTAAGGAGAGAGTCTCTGAAAGAAAAACAGTGCCTAAGGGAATTTCCACACAGAGGAAAGGCTGGGCTATTATATTTGAAATGTAAGAACAGAGCCGTGCCTTGTTGGATCAAACCAAGATTCATCTGCCAGTAGTGTATTCTGTCTCCAACATTGTGATATCTCTGTGAGGTTACCAGATAGTTGTGCTCATACCAGTAGCATCTGTTTCAGAAAGGACTGAGTCAGTTTCATTGGGGAGAGATCCACAGTAGCTAAATCTGAGCTTCTGTCCTTAGGGGCAGTATGTGTGCCTCCTTTGTTAGAAGGTGCTTGGGGCAATAGCAGGGATTAACAGGCATAAGTGTCCCTCCACATGGGTTCACCAGAAACATCTTGATTTAAGATGGTGCCAAATGAATGTGGAAGCATTTTCAGGAAACTGAGTGGGAAGGAGCACATACCTTATCTATAGATTGATCCCAATTCCTGACACTTCGGCAGAAAAGATAGCAGGTAATAAGAAATAACTTTCAGGCCCTAGAAAGCAAATGCCAGGTCAGAGAGGCTAGAGTGCTAAATCAGTGATCTGACTCTATGTAGGTTTGATGTATTCTTGAAGGCTTTCACGGCAGGGATCTGCTGGTTGCTGCAGGTTTTTCGGGTTCTTTGGCCATGTTCAGAACACGGTCAAACAACCCGAAAAACCCGCAGCAACCATAAATGTGATGTGTTTCTATTCTGTCCTAAAGGAAGAAGGGATCCAGAGGGTTCCCCAGATACACCAAAAGTTAAAATTGGAAGGCTTTCCCTTTTCCTTCTCCAAACTGCCAATCATAGTCCAGCACCAACCTTTGGAGAATGATGGACAAAGGTAGAATGAGGGAAAGAGTTACCTTATTTTATTTATTTATTCTATTTATATCTCACCTATCTGGTCATGTGACCACTCTAGGTGGCTTACAAACACATGGAACAACAAATAAATATAACAAAAAAGAAATTATTACATCAAATAACAGTACTTCAAGATGGAGAAGAGAAAATAAAAAAATAAACCAATAAAGAAAAGAGAAAAGGAAAGAATCAAATATTAACTGGAGGGAAGGCCATTGGCGTCACACTGGCAAAATCTCTACATTTTCATTCTGAGACAATGGCCAGCATGTTTTAGAGTAGAATTGCATTCTGACAAGCTTCCAGGGAGCATAATTTTCCTTTAAAACAAGGCACAATTTTCTTATTGTTTCTTTTTCTAGTAAAGAAGCGTGATGTAGATCTCTAAATGCTGCAGAACCATGAAGTCTTAGCAGAATGTAGAAAGATGTGAGCTGTACCAGGAAGCAGTTCTGTGGTGGAGCCAGAAATTGGCCCTTAGACTCATCAAAATTGCTCACTTTGCTCTAACCACTAGTCTGTTATAGTGTTATCTTTTGGGAACTGTTCAGCCTATCCTACCTAAATTCAATGTAATTCTTTTTGTGGGTCAAATTTGATGTTACAATGATTCTGTATCCTTTGCAATTAGCATACTTTATTTCCAATATATTTAACTCTGTAATCAGACTTGCAAATTAAGCTCATGTTTCGCTTCCAATGGTGAATCATAAAACAGAGTATACTGGAATACAGGATATGAAGGAGGTGAAAAGCACATGGTTGGACAAACAAATCCTTCATATTACTTAAGAGAGCACTCTCAATATGAACTCATAGCTTGACCCTTAAAGCCATCTCAGGTACCTGCTCTCAATGTCAGCACAACTTTGGTGAGTACTGTAAGTTCCATAAGTTGATTGCATGTTGCAAATAAGCACTTGCTCTTGTCTTTCCCTCAGTCTGTTCCAAATTAGCTGCATGGGATGACTCCAAGTTCTACAGGGAAAGAGAGAAAACATCTCCCTGTCACCCTCTCAGTCCCCTTCATTTGCTATTTCGTTCCAAATGCCTGGAAGCTGCATGATCTTTGTGCCGACTGATGTTAATCCAAAGCAATAACTGGCAGCAGTTAGTTGCAGGCTAGCAACAAGCATGATTAAGGTGGGTGGCTTAGTCCAAAACAACAAGCAGCATACAAGAGATCCTGAAGCTAGAGATCTAGTATCACTTTCTTCTCATCTCTCTGGTGTAGCACAACTATGATAAGCCACTCTTGGGCTCTGTGGTGCCCTTTAGGGCAGATGTCTAGCCCTATTCATTCTACTCATCAAGATGAACAGGAAAACTCCCAGATGTAATGCCTGTCTAACTATTTTTTTCCGGTAAGGGAAGTAATATGTATTTGCATCCATCATAAAATCTAAAGTATAAAATTACCTTATTGCACTGTTGCGTGAGCTGTCTTGCTATCTGAATATTCCCTTTCCCCCTACACTCTGGGTAGAGCATACTGCTGCAGGCAAACGTGTGTGTTGTTCTGTCCTGTAATCTAATCATCAGTTAGTCTTTTATTTATTTGTTGCATTTACTATATATTCTACCTTTTCTCCAGTTACCTCAAGTAGTTATACATGGCTCTCTTCCTCCCCGCTTTATCTTCACAACAAAAACTCTGTGAGGTAGGTCAGTCTGGAAGTCACAGTGACCAGCCACTGGTCTTCATGGCTGAGTGGAGATTTGAACCCAGCGCTTCTGAGTGCTAGTCCAATGCTCCAACCATATACAGTACTGTATATTACAACAACTCCTTTCCTCTGGAGGAGACAACTGGAATCTGGAACTGTATCAGAAACTGCCAGGGACCAGAAGACAGCCCGCTTCTTCAACTGCCAACATAATACGACTGTAATAATATTTCTATATGTATTTCAATGGTAAGCTACTTTGCAAGATGAGAGGAACTGCAATGTAGCCTTGCTAGTTATATAAGATTTATAAAATAGAAAAGCAGAGACTTTCCTTTGGAAATATAGATATGCCAAGTTTTGCACAAAGTACAATTTAACATTTCTTGCAGCATCATAGAGGCTTAGATGTTTATTGTGGCATTTACTTTCTTAAGCACCGGAACCTGCAACATCAAATGCATGATAGTGACTGTTCTATTTAAGATGTCAAAGGATGCTTGATTCCTTTTACTGCAAAATGTCTCCTAAGAAAATTCAAGAGGCGGTTTCTGGTCCAATTTTTTTTAGGACAGTGTCTCTGAAATCAGTGACATTTATCATGATGTTCACCAAATTAAAAGGGAAGTGCTTGCAAAATTACTCTCATCCACTTACTAACTTAGCCCCAACCCCAACTATCTGATAGGCAAATGCTTTTAGTTATTATCACAATCTACCTAATCTGAATCTATTGTATCCTAAAGCATCAACCTATTCTACCCATTCTTGTTTTAGCCTTATCATTCCAGATGTTTTAAGTCCCAGTTCTGGGATAAGTCAAATGAATATATAGAGAGTATATCCATATAGAGAGAATCCTCAATATTTCTTCAGGGACTGAATATTATTCTTACCTATCTCTCCACTTTCTTGATGTAATAAGTTCGTGCCGTCAGATCAATTCTGACTTATGGCAGCTCCTTCTAGGGTGTCTTAGTTATAGAATATTCAGAAATGATTTACTAAATGGTTTTCTTTTTCTTAGGCTGCCCTGGAACCATGAATCTTGCCCA